CATGCACAAATGTACACACCTGTGCGTACACATACATTCACATGCAAAAGGAAAAGAGTACTTACAGATTTAAGAATAGAATGGATGTAGAAGAAGATATGATGCGTGAACTAGGAAACGCCCAAACTAAAGTACACAGACAGAAACAAAAGCAATCAAAAAGTAAGACACATGGGAGTTGTCAAAAAGATGATGTATGCATGATTGACATCCAAGACATTATTCAAGGGGATATCAAGAGAGATAATGACCAAGAGTTTTCCAACATCAGCAGGAGATAGCAGATGATGAATATGAAGGAAAGATACACAGGCATATCATAGTCTAGCTAGTGTAGAGCACAGTAAGTCTTGAAAGTCCATGTAGGGAACAATGGAGCCATTGCTGGACCATCAGCTTTCCAAAAGGAATGATGGAATTTGTGGATAGTAGAATGACACCTTTAAATTACAGAAAGAAAAAGAGCCCTGTTAACATAGACATATTTATTTTATTTATGTGTGTGTTTCTGTGTGTGTACGTATGCAAATATGTGAGCACTTGCTGACTAAGGCCAGAAGAGGGCTTCGGATCCCTGGAGCTCAAGTTTCCAGGTGGTTGTGAGCTGCCTCCTGTGGTTGATGAGCTGAATGTGGGTCCTCTGGAAGAGGTCTTAACCACTGAGCCATCTCTCCAGCTCCCAGATTTCTTTACCCAGTAAAAATAGCCTTCAAAATGATGACAGGTGCAGAAGACGTTTCTGAAAAATGAAGGCCAAATATGTCATTCACAGACCCTCCCTGTGTGGAATTCCAACAGAATCTGTCAGGGAAATGTGGGGTTGTTTGCCATCGACACAAATGGTGTTAGAAACAGTACACATGAAGGTAAAGGTGAATCTTGACTATTTCAAGTGACTATTAGTCTCAGCTCACAACAGTACACTGGATTTTGTGGCACGTGTCATCTGGGTAACACTGTTTATTATTTATAAATACAGCCTGTTGTTATGTCCCTGCCCTCTTATCTCAGACTTGGCTCATTCTGTGGCCTGTGCTTGAATACTCAGCCCTTTCCGGGACCAGCTACTTGGGGGAGTGCACATCACCCCTCTACTTGATGTTACCACCTGAGTCATTCCTTCTCTAGGGTCCTCTGCCCCTGGGGCTGTCAGTTTCTTCACCCTTGCAACCTCTTCTCCCACAAAAGCCAAATGACAGCATGAATTCTGGGTATGATTTTTCTTTCTTTCTTTCTTTCTTTCTTTCTTTCTTTCTTTCTTTCTTTCTTTCTTTCTTTCTTTCTTTCTTTCTTTCTTTCTTTCTTTCTTTTTTTTCAAGACAGGGTTTCTTTGTGAAATGGTCCTGGCTATCCTGGATCTCTTTCTGTAGACCAGGCTGGCTTCAAACTCATTTGGGTAGACTTTTTGTTTTGTTTTCTTTCAAGACAGGGTTTCTCTGTGAAACAGTCCTGACTGTCCTGGAACTCACTCTGTACACCAGGCTGGCCTCAAACTCACAGAGATCTGCTTGCCTCTGCCTCCTGAGTGCGGGGATTGAAGGCATGCACCACTACCTCCTGGCTTGGGTAAACTTTTTAAAAAAAATTATTTTAAAATTACATTTGTGTGTATGTGTTTTTGGTGTGTGTGTGTGTGTAGGTAGGTAGGTAGGTGTATTTGAGGCCAGAAGAAAGCATCAGATCCCCTGGAGCAGGAGTTACAGGCAGTTGTGGACCTTCCGGCATGGGGGTTGGGAACAGAACTCCTTTGTAACAGCAGAATGTGCTTTTCCCCCCTGGGCCTTCTCTCCAGCCCCATCTGAGTTTTAGCCTGGTGGTACCCAGTGAGGACATCAGTGGGTATTCATTAGCGGATTAAATGTATGTGAGGTATAGAGGGGCTTTAGAAGCCCCAGGCTAAGTGAGTGGATGATGGCCTTGCTATTCCTAAGTGTGGCCAGGGCAGCCAGACTTTTCTTTGGTCACTGAACCAGACCTTCAAAGACAGGTGCAAGCAGCTCCCTCCACATCCATTTTCTCTTTCCAGCCCACATTTGACATACCATTAGTTGGTGCCTTAGGTAGGGTTTCTATTGCTGGGAAGAGACATCATGACCATGGCAACTCTTATAAGGAAAACATTTAATTCGGGGGAGGGGCTTCCTTACAGTTTCTGGGGTTCAGTCCATTATCATTATGGCAGGGAGCATGATGGCCTGCAAGCAGACGTGATGCTGGAGAATTGGCTGAGTGTCCGACATCTTTTAGGCAACAGGAAGTCGGCTGTGACACCGAGTGAAGCTTAAGCAAAAGAGACCTCGAAGCCCGCCTCCACAGTGACACACTTCCTCCAACCCACAAGGCCACACCCACTCTAACAAAGCCACACCTACCATAGTGCCACTCCCTTTGGGGGCCATTTTTTTTTTTCTAAACCACCACAGTTGGGCTCCGTCAGAAGGGACAGTGGCAGGAGACGGTTGATGTTGTCACTGGTGCACACAATGGGGGAATAGTGAGAGGAGATCTGGCGCAATGAGCAGACACTGAGCACACACATACCTACTTTTCTATTGCTGTGAAAAGATGTGACTGAGGTAACTTATAAGAGAAAAGGTTTATTGGGGCCTACAGTTTCAGAGGGTGAGTCTGTGACCATCATGGTGAGGAGCACTGAAGCCAGCAGGCTTTGCACTGGAACAGTAACTGAGACCTTAACATACCTATCTGCCAGAAGGAGGCTGGGAGAAGAGCGAGAGGGGGAGAGATGGTGCTGGCCTTTGAGAGCCCACCCCCAGCGACACACCTCCTCCAACAAAGCTACGCTGTGGTCTTTATCTATTTATCTAAGTTGTTCTATTTACCAATGAAGACTTAGGAGTCATATGCTGGGGTGAAAACCTGCTAGATCAGAGAAGCCAGAAGCAACCAGCTGACCTTCCTTTTCAGGCCAACAAGAGAAGCATCTCTCCACACTAACCCAAAGCAAAAGAAGACCTGGAATCTCTAAGTCCCTCCCTTCTTCTTCCTGTGTGTCTATCAGTCTTACAGGGTGCTTCCTGCTCTGGCTAATTCTTGTCAGGTAGTCACTGGCTCCGCCCCCTGACCCAAGGTTAATTTTTCTAACACAGTCTTGGAGTTTCATAGTGCAATCAAATATCCCAAAACATGACGCCTCCTAATCCTCCCTAAATGGTTTCACCAGCTGAGGTCCAAACATTTAAATATATGAGCCTATGGGAACCATACTCATCCAAACCACCACACTGTCCAACATAGATGGCAACTGTACATGTTATTTACACTCAGCACAATAGTCCAGTCACAGAAGCAGCACAGAATATCCTAGGAACCCAGAGAAGGACAGAGATCCAACCATGTGTCTCCTGAGTCGCTCACCTCAGCAGCAGCCAGGGTATTCCGGGTTTGTCTAGAGTTCTGCCAGTGGCCTTCCCATGTCCCTTCCTGGCTTTTATGCGTGATAGTTCTTGATTTTGGTCACAGGCTCCACCAGCCCTAGATGCCTCCAAGGCTCAAGTAGACTTCACTGGCTGCTGAGGGTTCTAGTTTTCACAGGCTGAGCAAAGGTTTGGGGTTTCCCCAGCATCCTCCCTACCTTCTGCACTGGAAGTCTCAGGCTGGAGTTCCTCCCTAAGGTCTGGAAAAGACATCTGTCAGCACGTTTGTTCATACTGATGTGGTAAGCAAGGGTCCTAGCTGAACCTTGTCAGATTGGAAACCCAGGCACTCAATCAGCCCCAGGTGGGCTTTAAAAATGAGTTATCTGGGAAAAGTAAACATCAAAAAACCAAACAACCCCCTCTCTTCTCTTCCTCTTCTCCTCTCTCCCACAGGCCTGCACTCTCTATCCCTGTATCTCTAATAAACTCTTATAAGCGAAAAAAAAAAAAAAAAAAAAAAAACCAAACAACCCAATTAAAAAGAAATGGGGCACGGAATTAAACAGAGAACTGT